GAACTCAGATAGTTTGTAAAATGTGCTGGATTAGGTTAATTGCTCATTTATGTCTAGGGGAAAATAAAAGGAGATTTTCTTACCCCCATCCTGTGCTCCTCCCCGCAGCTAGACCAGTCCTCAAAACTTCACCAGTCTAGGATCCTGACATTATCAACACCATAGCAGGGTGCATAGCCCTGGACTGGACGTGAGGAGACTGAGGGACAGTCCACTGTTGGATTATGGGGAGCACCACCTGCCAGTGGAGAGGAGGATCAGGTATGTTAAACTGTTTCTCCTCTTCTGAGGACAAAATGAGCAACTAACCCTTGCAGTGTGGGTGCAACCCCACTGCAAGGGATAATTTTTTATTTGGTACATGCAATGATCATTAAATAATGAACAAAAACTCAGCGCTCACACGATATAGAATGGGATGGTGACATAGGGCATAATGGAAGGACATTGGGAACTGACTGAACACAGAATATAATGGAGAAGAACCACTGGTTGGAATGGTCCTTAGGATAGGCAATAGGAGAAGGCAGACCAAGGAATCAGGGCACCTGGATGAGAGCCGGCAAGCCTCGTCGGGGATGGTGAAGATCCTATGTGACCGAAGTGGTGGCAGTGTGAACACAGGTGGTGCGTCCTGAGGCTGATGATGGAAGAAGGGATGGACCAGAAGGCAACCGCCTGGGAAGGGCCCGGCAGCTCCTCATCAAGGATGTGGGGAATACCGCGAAGATAAGCAGAAAAGGAGGGCGCCAGGTCAGAAGGAGAAAATTACTCCTAGACCTGGCGCCCTCTTTTTCTTTTTTCTTGGCCTGAAGCTGGGCTTTAATGTCTGCAGTCTTTTACAACCTTGGGATTAGAGTTTACATGTTTACCATTACTACCACTGTTATATTGTTTTTGTTACTTTAGTTTTTCTTTAATCCCATAACTACACTTTTCTTATATATGTTGACTTAAAGTACAGCATTAGGGTAAAGATATGCCCCACCCCTAATTAAAGTACATTTTCCATCCACAACAGTTTTATGGATACTCAACAAAAAAAGGTGTCCCTGGAAATTTTTTTAAAAATGTTGGCAATCGTACCGGTGGTATGACAGAGGGGTGTCCACTGCATAAATACATTGTGCTAGAAGGTGTCCCTCTTTCTTATCCCAGAAAGTTGGGAAGTATGACTAAGTGGTGAAATATTGTGATATTTCCAAAGCTTAAGCATTTGATGGGCGTAGATTTAATTTTAGAAAGGTCCTCTTTAAATAGCACCAACATCACACATAGCCCTGACAAAAAGGAAATTAATTGCCATGAGCACAGTGAATATTTACTCTATGAGAGAGGATGTTGCTGCCTGTTTTTCATCTGATAATACAGCAGATTGTATATAAAAGTCATATTTCTTTAAGCAGTAATCTAAACAGTAATTAAAAGAGATGTAGCATGCAGATTTGTAAATTTAAACAAGAATTTAGTTCTAGGCCAAAATAAATGGCAGGAAAAAGACTGAATTAATAAGAGAAAAGTAAAAAGGAGACAGGCCCACCTATAGAGAACAACATTTTTATCCTTTCTAATGGGAAGAACGGCCATGTCCCTAGTCAAGATTGAAGACATCATGTTTAAAAAGTCAAAGAGCAATATCCAAAGTGCAGAGACTGGGTTTACATACAGTATGCTATAAAACTGCCAGTTAAAGTGTTTCTAAACCCTGTATTCACTATATCTGGTCTCCCACAGTACACAGAACATGAAAATGCAATTATTTTAGTAAATAAAAACTCATAAATACCTTTTTTATCAGCAGTATATAGCAGTCTTGTGACTTCTATCAGTGTCCAGCAGAGCACTGGTTAAAGCCTGTAAGAGGAGTTTTCATTCTCCCCTGATTGTCCTATGAGGCTGCATAAACCCTGACCCTCTGTCTGGACAGTGCTGATTGGCCCTGTGCTGATCAGATGCACTCTCCCAAGCAAAAAAAAACTCTCTAGCAGTACACATCAAACTGAGCACGTGCAGCTTGCCCCCAAGGCCCTGTTCTATCAGCAAATGGACTGGGGACAGTAGAAGAAGGGGAGTGTCAGGAATGGACTGGCCAGCTATGGTGGGACTCACCTGCCTTTTGATCTGCAGTACCAGGGCTGGCCAGCGGGTGTTCCCAGCAATCAGAGACTCAACTTTGCAGCCAGCTAACACCTGTAACTGATTATGCTGGGGTATTTAAGGGATGGCCAGACCCACAGACTCTGCCTTGGTGTGTGTTTGTCCTGGGCCCTGTATCTGTCCTGCATCCTGTTTCTGAACCGCTGCTGACTTCTCCTGCTCTGATCCCGGCTCGCTCCTGACCATCCCTCTGTCTGACCCTCTGTACCACGCTGCTTGCTACCTGTTCTGATCCCTGGCTTGTGACCCTGACCAATCTCCGCTTGCTCCCCCTGTACCTACCTGCCCTATTGATATTGACCCGGCCTGCCTGACGACGCTTGCTTGTATGTACTGTTATCTGTGGGTGGTTTGGTTTGTTTGCACTGTATTATGTTTTAGTATTGCACTGCGTTTATGTTTGTATTGTTAGTGTTAATAAATTATATTGTTTATAACATATCTGAGGTCTGCGTTTCCCTGCGTCAGTCACACATCTCTGGTCACACCTGGGAGCCCTGACATTACACCAAGGCCAATCCTGACCAGAAGTGGCTGCGCAGGAAAGCCATCTTGGCTTGTTGATGGGAAGGATGGATCTGGATGAGGTTGAGTATTTATCTCTGCTAGTGCTTGATGACAGGGAGTATGCTTATCAGACTCTGAAGGAGTATCCCCGGATGAACTGCTAGAATGTATACGGCTCGCTCATGTTCTAGTAGATCAGGGCACAGATTTCTCTATGGTGCAGCCATTGATTCAGGTTTGTGTTGAGTTGGTTTCATCTGGTTCCCCCGAATGCAGGGATGAATTTTTGCCACCATTTAGTGCAGACCAGGTAGAGTCCCTGGTGTGGTTATTAGAGGATGATGTGGGTTACTTTCTGGAGCGTTATTCCACATGTTCACCACAGACACTAAGAGATTGTATAAACGCAGTGCAGTCATTGACCAGACAGGCTTTGTGTAAGCTCAGCTTTGTTCAACCCATACTGCAGACATGGACAGACTTGTTGCACCCCAGCCTCAGTCAGCTTACAAAAACCCAGTCCTGCTTCTAACTCTACTCCTGTATTCCCACCAGCTCCTCCAGTTACAGCCCAGTATACTTGGCTATCTACCGCATGTCAGTACCCTGTTCCCACTCGCTGCACCTATCCTGCCTTTAACCCCTGTAAAAAAGCCCTCTGTAGCAACTGCTCCCTCTCCTGTTCCATCCTCCAGTTTTTCTCTGTCTCCAGCTGCTCCATTCGTTTGCAGACCTGCATTTACTTGCAGTGCTCCAGTAGTTAAAACCAGAAAAAAGCGAAAATTCTTTCCAACCAATACCATCCTGCCAGTATCCAAACCGGTGAACCTGCCTTCCGTGACTCAGCCTGAAGCCTCTCCTCAGCCTGATGCCTCTCCTCAGCCTGATGCCTCTCCTCAGCCTGATGCCTCTCCTCAGCCTGAAGCCTCTCCTCAGCCTGAAGCCTCTCCTCAGCCTGATGCCTCTCCTCAGCCTGATGCCTCTCCTCAGCCTGATGCCTCTCCTCAGCCTGATGCCGCTCCTCAGCCTGAAGCCTCTCCTCAGCCTGAAGCCTCTCCTCAGCCTGAAGCCTCTACTCAGCGAAAAATTCGATTCGACTGATTCGGCGAATTCGTGGACAATATTCGATTCGAGTCGAATAAATTCGCTGTGAATTTAACTTAAAAAAGGGTGTTTCTAGGCTTCAGAGAGACTTAATATTAGTGCAGAACACTGTACCTTTAATTTAAATGCCCTTGGAGTCTGCTGGGGAAGAGAAATAATACTGTCAGTCAGTATGACATGCAGATGAGTGCCGTCGATCTTAGAATCACCGCACACTTCACTCATTTGGGCAGTCACGGGGCCAAAACCAGAGTGTGGAGCCACAGTGTGGCGGTGGAGGCAGCAGCAATGGGAGGCCATACAGCACCCTATGACAAAAATGGAAACCACCAGCAGTGTGAGGAGACCTGAAAGTGGCACATGGCAGAGTGTGGCGATAGAGACAGCAGCAATGGGAGGCCGTACAGGGACCCATGACACACTCTGGACCTGGCAGCAGCATGAGGAGGCGGTACAGGGGCCCATGACAGATTACGGGCCTGGCAGCAGCATGAGGAGTCGGGTACAGGGGCCCATGGCAGATTACGGGCCTGGCAGCAGCAATGGGAGGCCGTACAGGGACCCATGACACACTCTGGACCTGGCAGCAGCATGGGGAGGCGGTACAGGGGCCCATGACAGATTACGGGCCTGGCAGCAGCATGAGGAGTCGGTACGGGGCCCATGACACACTCTGGACCTGGCAGCAGCATGAGGAGGCGGTACAGGGGCGCATGACAGATTACGAGCCTGGCAGCAGCAACTTGGACAGGAGGACGTTCAGCTTCTGCACCGTCGGGTGCGTGCTCGCAAACTGTTGTCTCTTGGAAAACGGATTCCAAGAAAGACTGCTGACGGAATCCGTGAAGAGGAGTAGCAGGAGAAGGAGCATCTGAACGAGCGGAATATGCCAACAAGCGACAACAGTGGCCCATGACAGATTACGGGCCTGGCAGCAGCATGAGGAGTCGGTACGGGGGCCCATGGCAGATTACGGGCCTGGCAGCAGCTATGGGAGGCCCGTAATCTGCCAGCACCCTATGACAAAAAATGGAACCCACCAGCAGTGTGAGGAGACCTGAAAGTGGCACATGGCAGAGTGTGGCGATGGAGACAGCAGCAATGGGAGGCCGTACAGGGACCCATGAGAGACTCTGGACCTGGCAGCAGCATGAGGAGGCGGTATAGGGGCCCATGGCAGATTAGGGGCCTGGCAGCAGCTATGGGAGGCCCGTAATCTGCCAGCACCCTATGACAAAAAATGGAACACACCAGCAGTGTGAGGAGACCTGAAAGTGGCACATGGCAGAGTGTGGCGATGGAGGCAGCAGCAATGGGAGGCCGTACAGGGACCCATGAGAGACTCTGGACTTGGCAGCAGCATGAGGAGGCGGTATAGGGGCCCATGGCAGATTAGGGGCCTGGCAGCAGCTATGGAGGCCCGTAATCTGCCAGCACCCTATGACAAAAAATGGAAACACACCAGCAGTGTGAGGAGACCTGAAAGTGGCACATGTTTGGGCATGATTCATGGCGGATTTAGTCAGTTGTGTCAGGAACTGGTGGTTTGAAATCCAGACTAATCCACGCCTGATTCATTTTCACAAACGTGAGTCTCTCCACACTTTGGGTGGACAGTCGTGTCCTCCGCGGAGTTGCAATACCTCCTGCCGGCCGCACTAAACACGCGCATCCCGATGCCACGCTACTGGCCGGGCATGACAGCCTTTCAAGGGCAAATTCAGCTAGTTGGGGCCAAAGGTCAAGTTTCGTTGCCCAGTAGTCAAGGGGATTGTCTACCTCGGTTGGCAGGGTGCTGTCCAAGTAGGCCTAAGCCTGTTGTTTGAGGTCCTGCTCCAGGTCCACCTGATGCTGCTGCTGCAGCTGCGGCTGGTTAGTAGTTTCCTCCTCACTGCGCTGGTGAAGAAAGCTACTCATCATCGACTGCAGACTGAGGCAGCCGCTGCTGGTGGAGCTGCCACTGCTCCTACCAACCCCACCCCCTCCCCTGCTGCCATGGCAGCGGAACACGAGCGCACAGGGCCCACAGTGTCTGAGGATGGACGTTGGCGCAGACAGGCAGAGACCAGCTGACTACATAGGTGTTTTTTATAGTACGTTATTTTTTGGCCTCCCGTCTCAGCAGGTGTGAAAAAGGCCACCATTTTTGAACGGTAGCGAGGGTCCAACAAGGTGGACAGCCAAAAGCTCATCCCTCTGTCTGATGGTTATTATTCGGCTGTCGCTACTCGCAAGCAACCCCGAGCATGCTATGGGCCATTTGTGCCAAGGAATGCGAGGGACTCCCTGCCTCCATCTCCACAGCATACTGCCACGGTGCGTCTAGGTCCTCTGTCTCCTCTTCCTCCTCCTCTAACCAGATGCTCCTGCTCCTCCACTCCTGTCCGCTGAGTGGAAAAACCACCCATTTCACTCAATAATTCCTGAGCACCAATGTCCTCCTCTACCTCCTCCTCTTCTTCCAGTCCTGCCCCCCACAGGGGCCATGTGGCGTTTGAGATCTGTGCGCCACGTCTACCGCACCCCATGACCAGCCATTGTTAACAGCATTTGTTCCAGGAGACGTGCAACAGAGGAATGACGTCGTTCATCCCCATAGTCCCCTGCCGACTCACGAATAGCGTGGCCTCCTCAAAGGGCCTGAGCAAGCGCAGGTGTCACGCATGAGCTGCCAAATGGCTGACATCTAAGTTACACAGGGAGTACCTTTATCTCTTTTAACATCAGGAAATCTGTGATGGCCTTTTGCTGTTCGTAAAGGCGGTCTAACATATGTAGGGTTGAATTCCACCTTGTTGCAAACTTCACAGCATGAGGAGTCGGTATAGGGGCCCATGGCAGATTAGGGCCTGGCAGCAGTTATGGGAGGCCCATAATCTGCCAAGCACCCTATGACAAAAAATGGAACACACCAGCAGTGTGAGGCAGACCTGAAAGTGGCACATGGCAGAGTGTGGCGATGGAGACAGCAGCAATGGGAGGCCGTACAGGGACCCATGAGAGACTCTGGACATGGCAGCAGCATGAGGAGGGCGGTATATAGGGGCCTACGGCAGAGGGGCAGGGGGGTGTGGAGACCTAAAGTGGAACTGGAGGGGTGGGGATGGGGATGCAGAAGGGGGGGGGGGGGGGTAAAGGGGAAATGAAAAGGGTTCGAAACTTCCGATAGGAAAATTATAGGGGTGGAAAGGGGTTGGAAAGTATGGGAAAAGGGTAATTAAAATTAAAAAAAATTTCCCCACACCAGCATGTGAGAGACCTAAAAAGGGGGCCCCAGGGCCAAGGGTGGCGATGGGACAGCACAATGGGGGGCCGTACGGGGACCCTGAGAGACTCTGGATTTGGGCCCAGCAGCATGGAGGGGGTTATAAAAGGGGCCCATGGCAGATTAGGGGCCTAAAAAGCGGGCTATGTAGGCCCGAAATTTCTGCCTGCACCCAAATGTAAAAAAAATTTAAAAACAACCCAAGCAGTGTGAAGAACCTGAAAGTGGCCAGGGCCCCAAGGGGGAGGAGACCCGGGGACCCGGGGGCCCAAGCAGCCAGGGGAGTGAAGGGGGTAAAGGGGGCCAAGGGCGATTGGGGGCCCTTTGGCAGCGGGCAAAGTGGGGCCCCTTTAATCTGGGGGGCCCCCCAAATGCCCAAAAAATTTTAAACACACCCAGGGGGAAGCCCCTAAAAATTGGCACATGGCAGCAGAGTGGGCAAAATGGGACAGCAGCAATGGGGCCGTACAGGGCCCCAATGAAGACCTGGACTTGCACAGCATAAAGGAAAGGGGTATATGGGGGCCCTTGGCAGATTAGGGGCCTGGAAACACCCTATGTGAGGCCCTTTACTTCCCGCACCCAAGGGTAAAAAAAATTAAACACACCACATTGTAAAGAGACCTAAAAGGGGGCACATCAGCAAGTGGGGCCGAGGGAGCCCAGCCAAGGGGGGGGGGGCCGTACGGGGACCATAAAGCCCTCTGGCCCGGGCAGAAAGCAGGGGAGGTGTAAAAAGGGGCCCAGGGGCAAAATTAGGGGCCGGGCCCCGCGCTATGGAGGCCCGTAACT